AAAGACATATGCACCCCTATGTTTATCACAGCACTATTTCAATAGCCAAGAAATGGCAGCAACCTAACTGTTCATCAGTAGATGAGTGGATAAAGAAGAGGTGGTACATATTATACACAATGGAATATTATTCAGCCATAAGAAGAAAACAAATCCTACCATTTGCAACAACATGGATGGACCTAGAGGGTATTATGCTTAGTGAAATAAGCCAAGCGGAGGAAGACAAGTTCCAAATGATTTCACTCATCTGTGGAGCATAAGAACAAAGCAAAAAACTGAAGGAACAAAACAGCAGCAGACTCACAGAACCCAAGAATAGACTAACGGTTATCAAAGGGAAAGGGCCTGGGGAGGGTGGGGGAGAAGGGAGGGATAAGGGGATTAAAGGACATTATGATTAGCACACATAATGTAGAGGGGACACGGGGAAGGCACTATAGCACAGAGAAGACAAGTAGTGACTCTATAGCACCTTACTATGGTGATAGACAGTGACTGTAATGGTGTATGTGGTGGGGACTTGATGATGGGGGGAGTCTAGTAACCATAATGTTGCTCATGTAATTGTATACTAATTAATAAATAATAAATAAATAAATAAATAAAAGGTAGAACTCCATCTCAAGGCCCTTTCGGGTATGAATACACTTTTTTAAATCCCTTCTTATTTCATTATTAATCATTTTTAGAGAAGTTCTTCAAATATCAATGGTGCTCAATCCCTGGCAATCATTGTTCATGTGGAGTACTACCAATAATACAACTGGAGTGTTTTTTAATGTATGTAAATAACTACAATAAAATGATAAAGTTTTAAAAAATGCAATTTATTGATTAAAATATTATTAAAATATTGTGACTCTGGGTCCTGTACAATTATAGAAATGACACATACATTAAATTCACTTTCTGTCAAATATAAAAAGGGGTCCAGTTTTCCCATGCTCATGATAATATAGTATGCTAAACATTGGGCAGTTCCAACTTCATCAGGAACTCTTATATATTAAACAGGTAAAGGGCTCAAGATGTGAGTACTGAAGATTAAAATGTTTTAAATTTCCTAATTTGGAAACCTGAAACACATAACTTTTTTGCTAGAGCTGTACACAAAATACCAGCCTTTGACAAAATTACAACGTAGGATAAATTTATTATCTTTTGAGCACAAAACCCCTTAAGAATAGAAACCATGTCTTTGTCATTCTTTTTTCTCATCAGATTTAGCAAAGTGCCCTATGCCCAGTAATTCTTAATGATTATTTTTATTGGTGAATTGGTTAATAAATTATTGTGGGTCATGAATTCCCCTTCCCCAAGATTTTTGGTTCCTAGTTCCTCTTATCTGTACCAGCACTCTACCAAAGTCTGCTCCCAGTGTTCCAGGATGGGAATCTTTTTCCATCTTTCTCTATCCAATCAAAATCTGTTAAATATGAAGTTGGACAGCCTAATAACATGGAGGGACCTTTTGTTTTCAATGTGTTAATCCTAATCTAATATCTAACACACTTAGATATTTATGCATCTAATGAGGTGGATTTTCTAATACAGTTGAGAAAGCAATGAAGTTTTTAGGAGGCTTTTGGCTGCCTTACAAATCATTACAGGTTGCCATCAACTTGACCTCTCAGTACAATCAGTCTTGGTTGAACTTGTTAGTTGGTGAACTCTCTACCAGGGTAATTTGGACTTCTCAATGTTGAGATTCCAAGACTAGATGTTGCATTCTTTACCTTGCTATGGTTCCTTTTCTTGCTCACCCAACTCAAGAAATCACTTTTCAAATGAATAGTATTCCCCTATTTCTGTGAATGGCCTCATCATTCAGTCACATGAACTCAAAAACTTGAAGTTTATCTGAATTTGTCCTTTGCCTAAACCCTTTCATCCAATGTAGTCCTTTGGCTGTCTTTCTCAGCTCTATCTTCTCTTTTCTCCCTGCCATGCCTGTTTGAACCTTTTGTTTTACTTTTGGTTGCAGTTTGGTTACACATCCTTGCCACATTAACTTAGTAAAGCACAGCATCTATCCATTCATTACACCGCTGGAAAACCTCACTCCCATCTGCTCAGTGCTTAATGTGGTGAACGTTCAACTTCTTAGTCAGCTTTCAGGGTCTGATGCATTCAAGCCAAAATTTAGCTTTCTTCGAGGTTATTCTTGGATCACCAAATTCATCCCACATGTACCATTAAGTCTTTATTGTGTTTTTTCCTCTGCTTGAAATGTTCTCCCTCCACTACTATTAAAACCTTGCCCATCTTTCAAAGCCAAAATCAAAAGAAATCTAAAACATGATGTCTTAATTCTTCCAGCCAGAAGTATTCTCACTCTTTTCTGAAAGTCCAAGTTACCTTGTACCACTCCTAAGGTACTTCACTGAATTCTAACTTAGGGTTTCAGTTGTATGCTTACATGATTAATCTCTTCTTGGGTATTTTAAGCTTCTTGAGAACACAGGTTGTATTATCCCATGTGTAGTTACTTAGAGGTTGTTGTCCCTGAGTTGGAACCATCATGGAGTGAGTTGAATATTTTACATTGGTTTAGGGTGATGATCACAAAAACAATAGTGTGGTTAAGTGAAAACCTTTGGTTCAAACAATCCCAGATTTAAATTCAGCTTTACCCATTTCTAGTTAGATGATCTTGGAAAATTAGTTAATTCCTTGGCACCTCAATTTCCTCATCTGTAAAATGGGAACAGCAGTGCCTATATCATAGATTTGTTGACATAATTAAGTGAGGTGTTGGGTATAAAACATGTAACTTAAATAATTATCATCTTCCTGTCTTTATTGTTTCTAGCACAGAGTCTTGCAATAGTGTTCAACAACTTTTTATTAAATAAATGAACACATTATAAGGATACAGAAGACATTATTAAAACTGGAAGAGCAAGGTGCTCCTTTTTTTTTTTTAAACGAACAGGAAGAAATTTAATTTTTTGACAGACCTAGTCTTAACACTACAGAATATGCTGGGAATTCCTTACAATCTAATGGGAAAAATCTAATCACTTATTTTAAATTATAACAGTTTATATCTTAAAATACATATAAAAATGTTTGAATACTGCAATGTATGGGAGGCCCAGCCAGGTTCCAGATTCTCAGCCACTGGGGAGTTCTATGCCAGACCACCCACTGAAAAAGTGAAAAGTTGGTACCTTTACCAGTGTGGAGTGTTTAGAAGAGAGGTCTAAGTTGTAACCATTTTCCTCCAGGAAGAAAGGAGGAAAACAACACATGAGAATTACTGGACAAACACTACTTGTCCAAGTTTTCAAAGTAATAATCAAAGGTGGAATTAATGCCTTTAACATCATAGCTCTCCCAAACTGAAGTCTGTTTATATAGATCTGACCTGACTTGATTGAGTCTGCTTCTTTGGAGGACACAAACTTGTATGAATAAAGCTAGAATTTCAGTGCAAGTCACACTAGTTATAGTTTGATTTGAGTTTTTTGATTTATAGTTTTGATTGAGTTTTACTGCAACCACAAGTAAACCAAGTCACTCAAATAGTAATACTAAAGTAGCATTTGCATTTGAAATCTTGTTTCAAGTTTCTTGAGATGGCCTTTTATTATAAAAGCAAAAGAGACACCCAAATGGTGACTCAACCTGGAGAAGGTGGGGAAAGGCACATAGAATGAGTGGTTGCTCATGAGTTTTCCATTTCATAAAGACTAATATTTAACACCTTTAACCTTAAAGGTATTATCTGATCTATAATTATGAACAGTCTGAAAACCCAGTTTCTTGGACTAATGCAGAACAGATGCTTGTGAAAGTTTCTGAAATATAATAGACCTTCTATAATATAATAGACCTTCTATAAATATTGTGTTGGCAAAATAGCTTAACAGGTGTGCATGTGTGTGTTTGTGTGTGTGTATATGTTTATGTACACAACTCTCCTCTTCACCCCCTTAATACTTCTCAGGCAGTGTTACCAGAGGGAAACTGAAAAATAGGATTTTTATGCTTACACTGAGGATCCCAAAAGGCTATATCAAATCATGGCTCCAAAGGCATTTTCTTCTGCTCTCCTCAGAGAAGACTATTTACACAGGTAGGGAAGGGACCACCCTACTGAAGTAAGAACTCTTTTAAGAATTATTTTGGGTATAAGTAACAAAAATCCAATTTGAACTATCTTGGGCAAAATAAGAAATATACTTATCTGAGCAGCAAAATCTCAGGAAGGGCATGGGTTTAATGGACTTTAAGCACCACAGGAACAGGAATATGGCTGGACTCTCCATCCATCCCTCATCTGTGCTCCTCTCTGAGCCAGCTTTCTATCTTACTGTAGACTGTGACCTTCTGCCCTGGAGAACCTGGCTTTTGACATCTCATCTGTTCGTCTACTACTACTTCTCTAAATTGCTTCCCTTGGAGCATCTGAAGGGCCAGCCTCAGTCCTGAGCCTCCTCTTTGAACAGAGAGGCCAGTTCTATAGTTGGCAGCCTCCACTAGAACAACAGTTTGAGTAAAGAAAAGAGCAATTCCTCCAAAAGGAGGAAGACAATTCTGCGCTCAAAAAAACAGAGGTTCTGTGCAGACAAAATAAGTATTCTTAAAATTAAACTATTAAAAGTCAGAATTTGTATTTATTAGCTATGAAATAAAAATATCTTTTTTAGTTATTATCTTCTAGGAGTGCATTTTCCTATCTCTTCATGTTTATTTCATATTTCTTCAACCTTGAATATTTTTCTTAACACAGCACCACTAAGTCCTACCCTTTACTTTCTTCTGTGCAGAAGATTTACTTCTGGTAAAATACAGTAAGTTGAATACATTTCTTTAATACCAATTTCCCCCAAAAGCAGCAAAAAAGAGGGGAAAAGAGAATAAACATCTAAGTGCAAAGAAGAAGGGGAAATACTGTAACAGATGAAAAGTGGCAAAAACATTTGGAAAACAGTCAGTATATATATAGTCTGCTAGTTAGGTATTACAATGTAACAGAGTACTCCAAAAGCTAACATCTTAAGACAATAAATATTTATTATCTCATACAGGTTTGAGGATCAGGATCCTGGGAGCCACTTAGGTTGCAGAGAAGTTGTCAGCCAGGCCTGCAATCATTTGAAGAGCTGCAGGATCTGCTTCCAAGCTCACACACATAGCTGTTGACAGGAGTCTTCAATTCCTCATCATAACGCTGTTCATGAAATCCTAACTACAATGGGAAAAAATGTAATCATATAATAGAAAAGCTAGGAGATACTACCTTAATCAAGTAATCAATGTAACATCAATTACAAATGTTGTGTAAGTGGACATTGTGTCCCTGAAAACACAGGGTCACTTCAGTGATATTTGGTATTCCTGAATATCATAGAGGATATGAAATCTAAATTTAATCACATGGAAATATCACACACAGAGAAAGAAACAAATTGAGAGACATTTTACAAAATAAGTGGCCTATAGTCTTCAAAAGTGTTAAGTTCATGGAAATGTGTTATATGCTTTGGTACAGCAGGAAGCACAAAGGAGGGGCACCCTGAAGTCATCTAGTGCTAAGATGTCAGGGAGGCCTTTTTCAGAGTAGAGATGTCTAAGCTGACATTTAGAGTTAGCCTAAAAAAAATGCACAATGGGGGTGAGAAGAAGTAAGAAAGGATGCAGCAGGTCATAGTGTAAAAGACCAAGGAAAAATCACTTGGTCATATGCCCACTGAACTGTGTGTGTGTATGTGTGTGTGTGTGTGTGTGTGTGTGTCCTTTCTTTAATATCAGCAAGACTTTGCTCCTTTTACTGTCATATCTAAAATATCTTAAGAGATTATGTCTATTGCTCTAGTCTAAGAAATTTGCCTTGAAACACATGTGAAAGAGTAGAACAAATTCACCCTTGATTGGCTCAGTCACTATCATTATCATTTTTTCAAACACTATTCATCTCACAAACTAGGCAGTATTATTTTCACAGCACTTTTAATAGAGTCCCTTAAGATATATGCCTTTTATGAATGGCATTTTCTAATCACATCAACAGAAAGTGATACAGAAGACTAAATTCTTTCATAGTGGCAGTTTATTTAGTGTTTGGGAGAACAAACCTCTTGTCAGATTGTACCTGATTTGAGTCCTATTCTAGGCCTGACACTGCCACTCATTAACCAGATAGCCCGAGGCAAGTTACTAGCTACTTATGAACATCAGTTTTTTCATCTGTCAGATAAGGAAATAATAGTATCTACTTTATAGGGTTGTTGTGAGAACTGATTGAGATAATATATGAAAAGTGCCTCGCTCACAGAAAGTAGTCAACAAATGAGATCTTCTGCCTCACTCTGTAGGTATATTTAGAAAAAGATTAAACATAAAATAAGCTCAAAACATGTCGTGAAATATATTTAAAGTGCTGTGAAAATAATATTGGCTCATTATTTTAGGAGTGTGTAGATAAATTATTTTAATGTTGATTATAGTTCCTGAGCCAAAGATAATTTGTATACTCTATCACATTTCACAAGTTTCCAATCAAGCTCCCCTTGATTTTTTGACTCCTCAGCCATCTAACCCTCCCTTGTGTACCTTCTAAGAAGCATCAAGGTCACAACTAGTGATTCTCCAACAGAGATAGGGTTCTTTGAAAGCCCTCAAGGCGCTGCAAAAGCCACTTCATTGTAACTCCCTACCTTTCTAGTCCAACGTTTACTTATTTGCTTGTTCACTCATTTAGCATTATAAGGTAAAACCTTTTTTCTGGTATATAATATGAACTATTAAATGTTTCACAGTTGTCTTATCAAAGGTAATGCAACTCTTCCCATTCTTTTGGTGAGATGTATTTTATTGTTTTTGATAACAGCTGGAAAATGGGAGAAGACTGGGTAAATATTCTAAGGAACTATTTTGCCACCAATTAATTAATCAAGAATATTTGCGGCTTATTGAGCAATGATTAGCAGAAACAAAAACAACTGGTGTGTTTGGTCTTCAGCAATAATCAAAGTGTTTAATTGGGTTAATACTTTGTTGTTTTGAGGGTTACTAATATTTTTAACTTCTCAAGTCTCCTTATCTCTAACTATGAAGATGAATATAAAAATACTACTTTGTAGTATATTTGATGCACTGTACTTTATTGTATATTGTGAATACTGAAATTGTTAAAAGTGTGAAGTAATTGTGAGGATCATAATCGCTTAATTAGTAAAATGATCCTAGGTTCTGACCCTGTAGGCTGGAAACTCCTGTCCTCTTTGTGCCCCTGTCCCCCTCCACACACACATCTTCTTTCTGTGTCCCTCACCAGACACATTTTCCAAATTACATATTTGTAAAACCCTTATTTTAATAAAGATCTTTTAATAAACATAAAAATTTGTCCAGTGTCCTACGAACCCTGATCATCATCCTAAAAATGCTCTCATGTAGTAAAGATGATCATAATGATGATAGAAAAAAAAGATTAAGGAGAAATTTCTGTTATGGAATTCTTTTACATGTCTTATTTGTTGAGAAAAGATTAGAAATTAATTAAAATTAATCTGAGATTTAACTCATGCCAGTTCAATAGATTTTAATGTCTCTGAACTTTGATTTTTGTGAACAAAGGTTTTAATTATACCATTTGATCAGAGGCCTTATTGAACACCTACTATTTATGAAGTATTATGCCAGGCTCCCACAAAAACTTAAAAGAAGATGGCCCAAAAATCTTAACTTATATTAAAATGTCCCATATGATAATTGACAAAGAAGTAATATGGACAAAAGGTATTTTTCTGGTATGGGAACAGTGAGTATGCAGAAATTATCATTAAAAAAAAACAGAATTGTGAGTTTTAGAATAACCTCTCAGAGAGATGTTGGAAGAACTTGGGAAGGAAAAGGAATCAAAGGAGGATGGAAATGGGGCAGCTCTTCTGTGGAGGAAGATCTGAAAGAGCTGCAGAATGATAATGAAGATGGTTTCCAACCATAAAGGCAGAAAAATCACCATAACATACTAAGACAATAACAGTAGAATATAACACAAGAAAAATAAGCATGACTCTAAGGAAAGATGCAGAAAGGAACTCATATGAGCACACAAACTCTACATAGGACTGTATGTGTGCTCTTTTGGAACACATAATTTTGACGATGTGTATAAGTCCATGGCTGGTAGTTTCAGGTGGGAGAGGAACTTCCAAGATGAGAATTGTAAACTAAGCTGAGATGTACCACTTTGGCACTCATACACCAAGGGCAATGCTGCCTGGGATGAAAGGAGTGGGCCCACTGATCCTTCCGGGATACCCAGCAGGCAATGGGGCATTATAAAGAATGTGCATAGTTCCTGTTGCTATGAAAAGGTTCTGATATTTTAATGCATTAACTTATTGGCCCTGGAACCTTTACTGTTCATACAAACAATCCATATTTATGAATACAAAATGGTTGACAGATAGACTCTTTATTGGATAAAACACTTTTTCATATCTGGAAGAGTAAACACTACAATCTGAAGACTTAATTCTAAAGAGGGGATAAGCAGAAGATAATCCAGGAGTGGCCAGATTCTAGGGAGAGCCTACTGAGGTGGAAGAAGGGCAAAAAGGAAAGGAGGAAATGATGATGGCAGGAAATACGGGACAGTAAAGAAAAAGGTTATGGAGAGGGATGTAAATTTCTCCCATCCATGAAGTGTGTTGATAGTTCTCCCTAATCCCTGTTCTCTAACAAGGCATTGCATGTGAATGCAGAGTCCAGAAGAGACTTAGGGTTGCCTGGCTGCTCCAGCTGCTGTGGCCTCATCCTCTTTCCACCTCCCCAGTGCCACCCTACGCAGATTCCTTTCTTGTCAAACTTGTTTCCAATCACCCAAGCCCTCTAGTCTATGACCTCCTGGTCAAACTGTCTGTTACCCAGGACACAAATAGATTGAGGGTGTCAGATAACATGGTAATGGTAGGGGAGAAGACAGTTTGAGTGAGCACTGCAATACCCTTTATAATACCCCTTTCTCCAACCACCTGTACCTTTAAAAATAAATGCCCTGTCCCCACCTATGTTTCCCTGTTTCTTTAAGTCACTGGAGGGCAACCAAGTGTGATTCATACCTCTTTCTCTTTATTTGCTTTGATGTGTTCATTCTCTCTGAGTGCTAACTAGTAGAACATTTGAGTTTATTTTATTTTGGGGAGGCAGGGTAACAAAGTTGGGTGATGACAAACTTGGGCTGTATTGCTTTATGGGAATTACATAGAACAGTGTGTGCACTGAAGTTTCAGCAGTGACACTACATGAAATGATGACCATCCTGTAACCACATTTAAACTCATCCATTTCTCTTGGAACTGATTAACATCCAACTAATACACATACATAGTACTCGGCACATGCTTGATGCATGCTCAGTCTCTGAAAAACCTTGGTCCCAGAATGTCTCTGAGGCCTTACTCCATCCTCTGCCAGAAACTCTTGCAATCACTATACAGGCTGCCAACAGACTGAAGGAGAAGCAGAGGCCTTTGAAAAAGCTTAGCCGTGAACATGAAAGTAATGGAACAATGCAGAGTTCACACCAGACATGCACACCATCACAGACACTTTCTCATGCCCCTGAATACAAAGATTTGGGTGAATGCGCTCAGTAAAAATTATGTTGCTTCAATGAATAGTCAGAAGTAGAGTCGAAGTTGAGGTGGGGATTATCTGTTGAAAAAAATATTTACTGAGAGGTTATTATTGGCCAGGAACTGAATTTTGAGCAAAGTAGTTATTTTGCATAGAAATAAATCAATTTTCTTAAAAGATAAAAGAAGTGTTCTGTAAGTTGGTTGGCAATTCCTGAAAGTTCTATGTAAATCACATCTTTCTCTTGATTGCATCTACGGTATTTCTCTTCTTGAGTGGATGAGGAGGAGAGGCTAGACAGAGGGAGAGAGTCGACACAAATGGGATCACCTTCCTATTCACGGAGTTGCTGAGCACCACGAGTTGCTGTTTCCAGGTGAGGGCACAAGAACGCAAGAGGTGCACTATCTTGAATTCTTTCTGCAATTCTGTTATCTTTTCATTTGTTCTGTATATTTGGCGCCTGGTTCTAGCACATGAAGTCAATGCAGGAGTTTCACTGTTACTTCCTATCACTTAACGTTTAAAGAAGCAAGTAGACCAGAGCCCGAAAGAGGCCGAGCCCAGGAGGAAGGGATGGGGTTGAGGACGGGGGGTTGGGGGAGGGTTGCGACCTGAGCCTGCGATTTCAGCGCCACCCCAGCCAGGGCTTGCACCTGGTCTGAGCCCCGGTGTCAGGCCAGGCGAGCCTAGCGCAACTCACTTCACGCCTTCCCTCCGACTTCCGGCCTGGCTTGCGGGGCTCCCAGTTCCATTCTCCACGCACGCAGCCCTACCTCTCAGGGCCCATCCTGAGCGCCGGGGTTGGCGGCTAATCCCCGGGGTCGGCACTCACGAGGTTATTGACTCTATTGGCAGCCACTCCTCCTATAACTTCAGTTACTCCCACCAAACTTTCTAAGAGGTGAAAAGCTGTTTCAGACCTTTCCGTGTACCTCAAGTGTGAGAGGGAAGGAGGCCTAACTTTCCCCTTTTGCTAGAAGGCCTCGACCTCAGGCTACTCAAGTACAAAGGCTGGTTCGATAATCCCCACTCCTCCCACCCTCACCCGACCTCAGCTTTGGGCATCAGAATGGTCCCTGGGAAGTGGCTGCCGGAAGGGTCGGTGCATTGGGCCGCGTACATGGCCAGGGTAGCTCTAGACGCGGAACTCGCTATAGGTCCTCTCTCCCAGGATCGGATAGATGATTCATTTTTATATGTAACGTTTTACCCCACTCTATAGCTCGGGCTGGTTAATGTTCAACCCCGGGCATCTGAGAGGCAGCTCGAGGGAGGCAGGCAGGGAACCATATGGACGCTCGGGAGTGAAGGCGCAGAGGCCTGAGAGAGGGTGAGGAGGGATGTGGCAGGGGTTAGGGGTGACGGTGGGGGTGGGAGGGTGCTGTTCGGGCCGGGGTTTCCTTAGGCTGACTCTGAAAGGGCAGAGAAGCCGGCGGGTCCAAGACCCGGGCCCAGCAGGCGTCCCAGGAGGCGCAGCGTGGAGGCCGCGCCCGGGCTGCGCCCCGACCGCCCACGACGCAGCCTCCCAGGCCGCAAGCAGCGCGCGCCGGGGCGGCGGGAGCACAGGCGCTAGGGCGGGCGCTCGGCCCCAGCGGGACCCGGACCGCCCCGGGCGATCAAACTTCTATTCAAGCCTGGGGCTGCGGGCTGGGGACGCGGGCGGGCGGCAGCAGCTGAGGATTAGATTCCGGTTTTGTGCTGGGGGACGTGCAAATAGTGCGGGCACCGAGAGGGGTCCCGGAGATGCGTAGGTTGCCCTCTGGACGGCGGTTTCTCCGGGTGTCTCTGAAAATACCGTCAGGGTAATGCGAGGCAGCACGTCCTGACACCGCCCTTCTGCCATGTCGCGGGCCAAAATATGAACATTAAGATAACGCAGCTGTTCTGGTCAATAGAAAGCGGTAGGACACGGTTTGTGCCGGAGCCACAGTTCAGGCCGCCAGTGAGGCCCAAGGCGAAGCCGCCCTTGGGGCACGTTCAGTTGGAGCGGCGTCACCTCGGGTTCTTCTACGAGTTGGGCCTCGTGGCCCCCGCGGAACCCATGGGTCCCAAAGGCCCTGGTCAGCTGTTCAGACTGCCATCCCCTGGCGCTGGGCAGTTGACAGGCTGGCGGCGTTGCAAGGGGAAAGAAGTCTCCGGGCTGGGGAGGGAGCTTCGTGCCTGAGAAACTGCTGCCCGGAATTTGCAGGCGTGATTTTTTTTTCCCCCCTGTCAAAGAAACAAACAAGACCCTGCCTCATCAGATAAGAGTGGCTCCTACGATTTCACGGATTTTAAGCCTGGGCTGGAGGTGCTGAGGTTAGCAGAGCCTTGTGAATGAACATCGCCCGCGGCCCAGCGCCCGCAAAAGAATGATTTTATTTTACTTTCTTTTGTTTAATATACTGTTTTCTAACAAAGTGACCTGTCCTCTCTAGTCATGAGCCCTGGCAGCGTCCCTTCGCTCTGGGACGGCCTGCAGGATCTCTACCACTGTCCACATCAGCACCTCCCACCCCCACTCAGTGCCCACACATAGCCGGGTGAATGTCAAACAAACTCGTCATCAGCCCAACGCAGGCAGCCTCGTGAAGTGACGCCAAAGAAAGGCCCTACCAAGTCCATCGCGGAGGACAGGGATAGATGACATTAAGCTTCAAGTGGTGCAGCAAATCCACCCAGACATTCGCCGGGAGGAGGAGAGTTGAGAGGGCTGTTGACAAGCTGAACAGGGGGGAAATGAGCCCAGAAACTGGTTGGCACTAGTCTGGGTTCCAAGCCACATTCGATATCCTGCCTCACTGCCTTCTCAGGGACAGCACAGGCGGTTCTACGTCTCATCTCCCCAGAGCCACGGGTATAAATGTTCCTGTCTAGGACTGGGTACAAGGGGGTCCCGCACTGCTACAAACTGTTAGCAGAGGCAGAAAAAGCTTTGCTACTTCTGGATGGAGGAAGCTTTGGTGGAGGGGTCTCGGGGCTCTGAGGAAACCACCGTAAGGCTTAGTCCTGGTACATCAGGTCCCAGTACCAACGGGCCATTTTCTAAGCTGACAGAACAGGGAAAATAAAAACAAAAAAAGACTTTGGAGCGGATAAAGAAAACAGGAGAGGGAGAAGATAGGGGGAGAAAGAGATAGCAAGGTGTGTGTGGGGGCGGGGGTAGGGGTGGGGGTAGAGATGGGGCGGGGTGTAGGCACCTTAAACATTTTTGCAGGAAGAATAGTAGAACTAGGACTGGAAAGATCTATCAAAGTCAGGGGTTGCAGACAGACACATACCCTGCCCAGGGACGGCCCAGGAGGTCTGAACTTCTCTAAACCCGTCTAAGAGAAGAAAATAATGCAATCCCCGACATAACCCTTCAAAGCAAACACCTTTACCATATAGTCATTAAATGTTTTTCAAAACGTTATTTTGGAAAAGGAATTTAGATAGTCCTTCTAGTCATTCTTTGGCTGAGTAACTTAAGCCTCAAGTATCTCCTGTTTTCCTCAACTGCTACTGAACTATTAACAATGTATTGTAATAACAGGAGTAGCAATGGTTTTCATAAGGTAATTAAGTGGAATTAAATACACCTTCAATAGGATATTTTATTTCTTTCAGGCCTTCTCCCATCTTCCAACAAAATCTAAAACCGACATTTACATAAAATGCATAAAATACTCAACACAGAAGCGAATGAAGTTAAGCATCCGGAACACAATACATTCTGCTTTCTATCTTTTTAGAAGAAGGCGTCCCTTCGTGGAGGGCAGGGGCAGGACAATAAATAAGCTTTTAAGTTAGAGTAAAACCTCCCTGGTTTCGTCCGATACAACCTGAAAAGGTAAATTAGTTATTTTTCCAGAATCTACTTAACCCCATTAAAAAAATTTCATCTGCAATGATTACATTTTCAAATTTCTCAAGTTCAGTTAAAATGTAATGGTCAGATTAGGGAGGTTGGGGGAGGAAGGATCGTTTTGTAAATTCTCTTCTGAAAATCTGCTACAGACTTCCTCCAGACCTCTCCTTCCTGAGTCAGCCGCGTTCCTTGCTTCCGCGTGTGCTTAGATCAACTGCAGTTTGCCAGCGGTTTTATAGATCAATCAATAGGGACTCTATATTCATAAAGGCCTCTGATCTGATTACACCCCCCCCCCCCCACCTCCCACCTCTCTCTCTCTCTTCTTTATTCTCCTCTCTAAAAAAATTCAAACCGGCGAGCCAGCAACTCTCAGCACAGCCCATGCTGACAGCGAGCAGTCTGAGGCTGAAGAGCCCCAGCGACGGCGGCGAGGGCGCCCGTGGATTGGGATGTGGACTGCAGGGCAGACCTTTGTCTGGTCACCTTCGTGACGGGGCTTACGGGGGGAGGGCCGTCCGTCCTTGGAGATCTTGCCAGGTTTTATAGACTTGCCTTAAAAGAGCTCGCCGCTCTTCACAGGGTTAATTTATGGGGCTTTCGAGGAATATCGAGACTTTGAAGACACTCTTTATTTTTTTCCTATTAATTTTTGTTGTTGTTACACTCTTAAAGGGGCTCCCAGGTTTCAACACCTCTCAAGAAGAGGGGTGGGATGAGTAGGATACGGTGGGGAGAAATAGCAGGGCCGGGAGGCTAAGGGGAGGATTTGCCTCCTAGTCAAACCGCTTGCATGGTCCAGGTTGCCCAGCGAATTTTTTAAAATTAAATTTCTAACCAAGTGGTGGGCAGTAAAACTCAGATTTAGTAACTGGGAAGTAACTGAAACAAAAGTGGGCCGTATACACCTTCCCGAGGTCTCCTATTTGAGTTCGGAGTTAGGGGAATGAAGAGTTTGGGGCCTTAGAAATTTTAAGTTTAAAAATCGAGCAGGTCGTAGAAAGGGTTCGAGTAACAGGTGGGGGGTGGTGCGGGGGGAGCGGGGAGGGAGGGAGAGAAGCCCCTAGGCAGCGGCAGACTCTTGAGCGGGGGGCTGCGGCCCCGGGCCCGGCAACCTGCGGGTCGGAGGTGCGCGGCGCAGGGCTGTGGCCTGAGAGGCCTGCGCTCCCGAGGCCCGACCTCGCGCTCGCCATGTTTGATCCCTAGCGAAGAAGTTTGGTGTTCACGCTATAGATTACCTTAAAGGTTCCTTTAAGCACTTTAATACACAACTAGCTCAGAAATCATTAAGAGACCTAGAGAAGGAGAAAAAAATACCCTCACACTCACCGGTAATAAGTGTTGACATGCAGCAAAAATCGATTGAGTGGAACCGAGGTGGTGGCAGTAACGGTGGCTGGCGGGGGGACCGGTGTGGGAGCGGGAGGGGCGAGGGGACGGACTTCACTGGCTCAGGAACTAGCTTTTCTCACTTGAAGGGAAAAGGAGGTGCGGAAAGGGGCCGGCGGGCGAGTGGGGATGGGTGTGGGGGAAGAGGGGGAGAGGTGAGTAATTCCTTTTGGAAGTCCCGGGAAAGGAGCTGAGGTGGGAGAAAGGGCCTCTCGGTAGTCCCGAGTCTCCGCCCCCAGCCTGCACCACTCAAGTCGGGGAAGTGACAGATCTTCCCAAACCTCGATTTCCATTTTTGTTTCCTGCAGAGCGATTGAGTTCTCGAAATAGAATTCTGTTTCAGCAAGCAAGCTCGGCGGAGATCCGCCTTCTGTACCCTGAACCCCCAAGTCACTCTGGGACCTGCAGGAGACGCAGATCCTCCCAGCAGGTCTCGTTAGCGCTTCCAGACCCTATCCCCAAATCCCCTCTCCCAGTCCCTTCTCTCCCCTCCCCCGCCACCCTCCCCCCATTCCGGCGGAGGCTCGGGGAGGCCCGGACTGATGGGCCCCGAGGCTCCAGAAGCCAAAGTCCGCCCTTGGGGACCGTTTTCCTCTCCACTGCTCTTAAGTGAACAACAAGGACGGAGGTGACCCTCGTCCAAAGGGCTTTTATCTGCCCCGCACTGCCGCGTGATCCCTCCTCAGGTCGGAGGCAGAGATTTAAAAAGAAAGAGAGAAAGCAAGTTAACGTGCATTGAGCATTGATCTTAAATCGGGGACATTATCTGCGATCTCTGTAAGAGGCAGCAACTCCATACAGAACAAAGACTGCCTGTGCTCCAAAAGCTTATAGGTAAAGTTTCAGTCAGATAAAAGCAACCTAGGCACAAAAACACAGGTTTTCTAGGATCCAGAGACCTGGCGGCTCTTTTCGCTAGCGATTCCCCAGGGTAGTGTTTGTCCTTGCCCACTGCGGAGGGGGTAGGAGGTTGGGGTGTGACCAGAATAGCAAAAGACCTCAGAGCCACCCCACTTTGGGACTAAGTCGTATTCGCTACTATTTATTATGAAATCAAATTTCACATTAAAATAAAAAGTTGAAAATCACAAAGGAGGAGCGGGTGCTTGAAGTTCTTTTGAACACTCACACCGACCTCATTCCCCGTTTAGATGTCAGAGGATGGGAGGGAGTGCCAGGGCTGTAATTCATCTTGATTTGCTTCATTGTCCCACAGTTTGCAAACTATAATCCTGTATAATTTCAGGAACAAGCAGGTTTAGAATTAATGGGTCAATATTATTTAAAACAAAACATGGGGAGCGTGACCTTTGCCTCAACTACATATTGCTCGACAAGACTCAGGAAACTCCACTCTAACCTCTCAACCCCTGAGCTCTTTGAGAAACTAAAGGGCTGTAGTTATTAGAAATGGTCTTTGTTTCCTTTAATGTCTCGAAAGGATTTTGAAATGGTAATGCAATATAACATGAAGAATCTCTCTACTTAAGCCTGAAAGATACTGAACTGGAAGTGTCTCTTTGTAAACTTACTGCAGATATATTCCTCTTGAGAAGAATGTATATAAACTATACATGTATACATACACACATATTTCTCCAGAACAATTTACTGGATGTTCAGGTCTGCCCCTTTCCTCCCAAAGGAGTAACCATGAGAGTTGTTCCAAGCTAGCATACTCTTTAAATTTCATTCTTCTTTCCCTCTTATGTTATTTGCTAGTAATAATAGAATCCTCTGGGTTTAAGCCAAAGAAAAATTTGGGAGATCAGACTATGTAGGCTTTTTCCTGGGAATACCTTTTTTCCCCTCTTTTTTTGTGTCTAATGAATGCCTATCATTTATTTCTACCAAATTTAAATAACTACTGCTGCCTTGTGTGTTTAACTAAGCAGGCAGAGAGAACTGATTTTAGGAAGCAGTGACTGAGAAACCCTGGCCAGGCGATAATAGAGAGTAGAAAGAATCCAGGCCAATTTGTATGTAGTATATTTTACTCCCATGAAATAAAACACATTTTTTTTCATATTTGCTGAAAAGTAAAACAGTAATATTGTACGAAATGTTATACACAGGGTAGGTTGTACATAGCAGTTTCAGAAACATCATTGCATCCACCAGAGAAACTATTCTAAAACTGATATTCACACATTTTTATAATAATAATATGTTAGAAACATACAGTGTGGCATTTCGTATATACATTCCTTTGCTTGCAAGCGAAAAATCCTAATCGCTTCTGTATAACATGCTTTATTTTAAAGCCTAACCTTTAAAAACACTTGTGATATTACTAACAACTGCTTTTTATAAAATTAATTTGACATTTCCATATATATATACATCCTTTCAGTCATTTTAATGTTAACAATGCTAAACTTAAAAAATAACAAGCTTATAGTAATGTTAAAATGTCATCCAGTCAAACATTTGTGTGTCCTTAAAACTGTTGGAAATACTTCTAGTGAAAGATGTCAGACATTTGAGGAAATTCCTTTGAAATCAAAGGAGCTCTCTTTAATTCAGTGGTTTCCTTTTTGCTCTCTCTCTTTCTCTCCCTTTCTTTAGTGCCCACGACCTTCTAGCGAATTCCCAGTCTTTCAAGGGCAGAGTTGCCCCATTCGGCACAGTCCTAGTATCCCGGCAGTGTGGGCGAGGCTCACACGGGCCGGTCCACGGCGTACTGGCACGCGCTCAGGTTGGACGCAGGGTTCTGCACACTAGCGTAGCCGAAGCTGGAGTGCTGCTTTGCTTTCAGTCTCAGGCTGGCCAGGCTCGAGTTACACGTGTCCCTATAAACATACGGCGGAGTTGGCGGCGCGTAAGGACAGGCGGGCGTCGGCACCGCGGAATTCAGCGACGGGCTGCTCAGGTTGTTCAAGTTATTCAAGCTGTTGAGACTGGAGCCTGGGACACCGGTCACCGCTGAGGGCACCATGCTGGACGACATACTCATGGATGAGATGGAGTTGGGCGGGGAGAACATGCTCTGTGACGACAGGGGGTTGACGTTCATAGAGTTGAAGAAAGGGAAGCTCTTGGTGGACAGGGAGGCCGACGTGAGGCCCTTGGCGGCCCAATTGTTGTACGAATAGCCTGGGTACATGTCGTCGTAGGGCTGCATAAGCCCGTTGAACTGCGGCCCAAAGCCATTCTTGCACAGCTCTGCCTGCTGGTTGCGCTCCCGCTTTCTCCATTTAGCCCGGCGATTCTTGAACCAAACCTGGGTGGGGGTAGAGGGCAAAGGAACAAACAGACGGTATAGATGCCGTTAGTAAAATCTTGATCCCAGAAAACACCAAAGACTGCCACAATGTTCCTCACACCCAGGGCCCCGCGCCCCAAGCTGCCCGAGCCAAGCGTAAAGTTACCAACCCTGAGGGCGGTCCAAGAGAGGGTGGCCCGGCAGGCTCAGGCTTGCGATCCTGGGCCCCGAGCTGCGCCACAAACCCCATCCCTACGTCTGGTGGCCTGTATGCGACTTGTTCACTAACCCAGGCTCTCCTCAGGGTCCAAAAACACTTACTGCAAAATAAACCAGGGGCAGCGGGCTTTGAGCCCAACCCTTCCATGGCCACCTTGCAAACTTGCTTCCATTCCAAAGCCACAGTCAGTGATGAGGACCAGGGGCAGAGAGTGCCCCAGACGCCGGCGCTCTCCCTCTCTCACACAGCACCTCCCCCCTCCCTGGGACCTCCACTGTTGCACTCCACTCTTTGGAACCTGCGCCCTCAACGAGGCGCGGATCCGCGACCCCTTTCCTTAACTAGCAAAATGTCCAAAGGAAAAACAAAAGACCATCTCCCTGTTAGCTCTTAAACTCCCCAAGCTTGGCACGTAAATCTCCGGGAACCAAAACGGGTCCCTCTGCAGCCTTCCCCTCCCTTTGCTCTGCTCCTCACCCTCCGCCCACCCCAGGCCAGGCCCTCGCGCTCGGCGCTGCTCCCGCAGGCTCCGACGGGTTGCTAGGTTCTGTAAGCGGCCGCCCAGTCCCGCCAGCCCCCACCCGCGTCCGGTGGCCCCGACGCAACCCTGCTCTCAATCCACAACGGGTCCGCGCGTCGCCCCAGACGGAGGCTTTTGTGTATTGGAGCTAGGCCTGGCCCGGGATTTTCGAGCTGACACCAGTGATGTTTCACATTACACTTCTCTGCTGGGCCCAGCCGCCTAATCCTTTTTTTTTTTTTTTTCCTTTTCCCTTTCATTCTCGATTTCCTTTTTTATCCCCCTTCCTCCCGACTACTATAAAAAGCGCGCTTCACTCCCACTTGGCTGGACAAGCAGCAGGCCTGGAAGGAGGCAGCCAGAGAGCGAGAGCCCAGCACAACGGCGGCAGGGAATTTAGGAGAAACTTAACAGAAAAGCCTGAGAGGTGGGGGAGGGCTTTTCCGAAGGATTCCAGAGAACTCACAGATTGTGTTTTTTATTTTAATTACTTGCCATTTCTACCGTAGGCTGTCTAAACATTGCACAGGCGAGAAGGATACGTGCGAGGCGCATTCCCCTGACGCTCGCGAGAGCTAATGAAAGACTGACCTTACGCAAAACCACGCGCCTCGGCCGGGAGCGCTAGCTCTGCGCAGTTAAACTATTTCCAACTTCATCGCGGCTTTCTTAAACATCAGCATAGCCTCACACCCCACACAAATGCCACGCAGAGTGCCTTCGTTCCCTCAGCTCTGAGGGCGCATTCGGTCTTTTTTCTTTTCACTGCTGTTATATAATGTTCTCTTCCTTCTGCTCTAACTGGGGGCTCTATTTTTCTATCCAGAGCGTTAAAAAACAAACCCCAGCAAGGCCTCTGGATCCTGCTATGTGTGTTTACTGCCTCCAGAATCCTTACAAATTTGGAGTTTTCCAACGACCAGCAGAAACCAGGATGTTGCTACTGGGTAATTTAAGTTCATTTTTGCCAGTCCATGACGTACAGATTTTCTACAAAGGTAAGCCCATTCTTTAATAAAGCTATTATAATTAGGAGAAAGGGTGTAACAATCCCCTGAGAAAAGATAAATAAAACAAACTGAAAAGTTTTCTTCCTTTTTTTTTCCTAAGAGAATTAGCAGGCTAGTAGTTGTGTATTAGAACTGCTTCCGCAGATCACAAAACCAGGACATAGGGTGTGGGAGAGACCTGAATGGCCTGAAGACCGCAAAGACTGTGTAAGGAGGGCGAGCCCGAGTAAAGAAAAGGCCGGCACTGGCCGGGTGGGAAAGTTTCCCAGGGAGGATCAACCTTTGCGTGTCTCTGACTGGTTTTCCTTTGTATAAAGGCACACAGGTTGGAGCCTGTTCTCGGCTCCCGGCCTGGGAGGGATTATATTAGTTGTGGCCTGGAGACTGCAAGCGGG